AGTTTTCTAGAAAGGGCTATTAATATGGATCGTCCCTAGAGGAGTACTGCATGCCCTCTGCACACACAATAAGTAGTATCTGATGGATTAGAAAGGAACAAACAAGAAATGGCTTTATTTTCCCCCTTGGAATTCCCTGGACTAATTTGGAGTCTTGATGGCATATCACTGAGTAGTTAAATCATGTGCACGACAGAAGTAAGCTTTATAATGGTTTGCTGCCTTTAGCTTTGGAAGTTTATTTCACCTTAGTCTTGAAAGTCAATTCTAGTACTTTGATTTTATTTGTAATGAACACATTAAAGACTAGATTGAAATATTACCTGCAAAATTGTTGTTATAAGACTTGTTCCTACTTCCATATGCTGAAAATTGACCCTGGATAGTACATAGAATACCATAAGGTATGAGTTAGCTGGTAAAGTGATTAGACTGAAAAAAAAAATGTACATTGGTAGTTGAAATTAGCAAAGAAATAGAGATAATCATGATTATACCTTTTTTTTTTTTCTGGTTACAAGTTTATTTAACACAAAATAATCCCCTCCAACTTTACTGGGGTGGCTGACCACGTCCACGACCAAATCCGCCTCTAAACTGGAATTCAGTTGCTAACCCAGCCCCAGCCTCGGCTTTCCTGTCGGCACCAGGGGGCACAGCGTCTGTACTTGTCTCTGTCGGCTTCCCCTCCTGTGAGTCTTGCAGGCCGCTCCCCCTCCAGACCTTTGGGCCTAGGCCTGCCGGTCTCGGGTCGGCTGCGGCACAGGGTGGCTGGCACGATCTCAGGAGGCAAGTGGAGGTAGTCCCGGGGATACTGGATGCCCTCGTTGGTGAGGTACCAGTAGAAGTGTCTCTACGCGAACTGCTCCTTCACGTAGCCTCGAGACTTGAGCAACTGCATGGCCTTCATGACGTGGAGGTTGGCCACATTCTTGTCGGCCAGCTCTGGGTGCTTCGGCATGTGCACGTCCTTTTTGGCTACCATCACCCCCTCCTTGAAGAGGAGTTCGTAAATGGCAATGTGATTCTTCTTGGGCATCAACATCGCGGCGGCTGTAGGGTTTGGAGCCGAGGCCGGAAAGCTATAACTTTATTTTTACAGGAAGAGATATAATTAGAGTATGTGTCTACAGTAGTAATAATGGTTTCCAAAGAGTATTTTTTAAAGGAACAAAATGAGCATGAATTAACTCTTCAGTATAAGCTATGAAGTAATAGTTGGTTATGAATTATAATGCCACCAGCTAGTATCCCTGTTTCTAGAGTAAGCCCTTATTTTCAAGGGTTTATAACAGACATAAAATACCTTTTCCTGGCTAAAGCTGCTATGAAAAGCCTCAACCTGGGAAGGTAAAATTTTTTTCAATTATTACATATTAAATATTTTGGCCCTTTGATTTGGAGGAGTATAAAAATGGAAGAAATTTTATTTTAAGTACTTTCAGTGCTGAGAAAATGCAATCTCTGTGTTGTATATAATGATTCATAGGTCGATCATTCAAAAAATTGACTTTAAGTCTTTTATTAAGAAAACACCAGAAAGATTATATCTTGAATAAATCTGGGGGGAAGTGGCCAATGTATAGATGCATTGAGTTTTAGAGCAATAATGAAATTATACCTAAAATGCAAAATTGAGTATGTGAATGATACAGTATGTTGTTGTTTTTAATGTCCAGAAGATCAAAGCTACTTAGAAGGAGTGCCTACAATTTGCCAGTGAGCCACAAATTAAGATTCTATCTTATATATCTGCAGAATAGCTTTAGCTTAGGGGGAGGGTGGGAGTGGGGAGTGAAGATTTAGTGGGACCTTGATAGAGAACTTTTAAGCTTCTTTCTCTTCAATAAAGACTTGTCTTGCATCTTGCTATCATTGAAGGCAGTTTCTAAAATTTCAGTCACTTAAGTATACCCAGAAACAAGAATATGCAGATTTTCATTTCCCCTTGACTTTAATTTCCCCAGTTATACTTCAGTGTTGTAGCAACACTGTGGTACCTGATACCCTGGTGTTATCATACCTTATGTACTGACCTTAATGAGACCTAAGAGTCCTTTCTCTTTCTGAGTTTGAATCACAGCCTTGATGTGGTCTTTCTTGTTTTATGTCATTGTTCCTCACGTAAAAGTGCTTAACTGCTTCCTGGTTGTATTGGATAGCATTGTAATAAGATTTTAACTGGGCATTCTTTAATTGCTTTTACAATAAATGAATTTATAATCTTTAAACTTACCAGCTTTTCACATTTGTTTTCTTATTAATTAGGGCTTCTTGATGATACCTGTGCTTGATAGAATACATTGACTTGGAGTTTCAGATATTCCAAAGCACCATTTGTTGTAATAACAACTCTGTAAAATTTAGTGCCTTTTTTAAATCAGAAAAAAAGGAACGTAAGGAAGTTACTTTGATACCAATAATGTTGCTGTTTTAAGTATTCATATTAAATAGATACATTCATGACAGGAAAACGGAAAAAATAACAGTAATTCAGAATTCATACCAATCAGTGTTGCAGCTCAAACAATGCAAAAGTGAGGCGATATCCAGTAGTTAACAATTTTGTAGCTTTCGTACATCTGAGAAATGAGTACTCAGTGGCATTTTATCTTTGCAATCATATTTATGAATTGCGGGTGTGCCTTTTTTTTTTTTTTTTTTTTGACAGGCGGAGTTAGACAGTGAGAGAGAGAGACAAAGGACAGAGAGAAATGTCCTCCTTCCGTTGGTTCACCCCCAAAATGGCCACTACGGCCAGCACGCTGCACCGATCTGAAGCCAGGAGCCAGGTGCCTCCTCCTGGTCTACCACGCGGGTGCCGGACCCAAGCACTTGGGCCATTCTCCACTGCCTTCCTGGGCCACAGCAGAGAGCTGGACGGGAAGAGGGGCAACCGGGACAGAATCTGGCACCCCAACCGGCACTAGAACTCGGGGTGCCGGCACCGCAGGCGGAGGATTAGCCTAGTGACCCGCGGCACCGGCCTAAGGTGTGCCTGTCTTAACAATTGCTTTCTGTATCTTAAAAAGGTATTCTCCACATTTTAAACGTTTTATATTAGAGATTTCTTTAACGCACACTTGTCATATATCTATAGATAAATAGATAGATAAGTAGGGTACCAATGTTACCGTTTTGTTTTTTGTTTTGGATATAAGAGCATGCTCATGTTAGGTACTTACATAAATTGTTACATTATTTTTTCTTATGTAATACCTTCTTGTTTATTCACGTGATTCAAATATATTCTTTCCTTAAACTCTTAAAAAATAAGAGTGTAATATACTTCCCGCCCCATCCTTGCTCCCACACATGCTGCCACCCACCCTCGCCCTTCATTTCTTATTTTGCTCAAATTTTTACAATGACATACTTTCAGTTTATTTTATAATCACAAGCTTAACCCTCCAACAAATAAGGAATTCAACAAGAAGTAGAAAAACAATTGCTCCTCAAGAGTATAGACAAGGAGGGTGGCACTATGGCATAAAGTAAAGCTGCTGACAGCAGTGCCAGCATCCCATATGGGCACCGGTTCGAGACCCAGCTGCTCCACTTCTGATCCAGCTCTCTGCTGTGGCCTGGGAAGGCAGTGAAAGATGGCCCAAGCCCTTGGGCCCCTGCACCCACATGGGTGACCCTGAAGAAGCTCCTGGATCCAGGCTTTGGGTTGCCTCACCTTCGGCCATTGTGGCCATTTGGGGAGTGAACCAGCTGATGGAAGACCTCTGGCTCTCTTTGCCTCTGCCTCTCTGTTACTCTCCCTTTCAAATAAATAAATAAATCTTTTTAAAAATGTGTAGATATGGCTGGAAACAATAATCACATCTCAAAATGTT